TGTTATTGTTATTGTTATTGTTATTAAAATCCAGGATCTGCCCCTGCAAGCAATCTCCGGTTAGTTTAGAGTTGATAGGGTATCAGCTCAGTAGACCCAGGTGAGGTATGAGTTTCATTCCTGGTCGAATAAGTCAGAATAAAACTCCTGCTTTCCCTGTGATGTCTTTACATGATAAATTATGGTTAACCTCCATGAAGCTTAAATGACCACAAACAAAAGAGGGTTTGGTCACCAATTCATTTTGCAACATAAAAGAACCCGATGCCTAGTGCTGTAGCCACTCCCCAGCTATCAGAGCAAGTCAGATTAAGACAAACTAAATTCGATATGCCATCAAAAAACATCACTTACTCTTTCCTTCACAAGGGGCAACCTCCAAAAATGCTGGTTCTGACATGACAGCTTCTCTGTGACCTCCTTTGTGAGTTACTTGTACAGAACATCTATAGCATCCAAAATCACGCATCTCAACAGAATCCAGGACAAGACTGGCATTGTTTTGCTGCTGAAATTCTGTGCCATCTTTGAGCCATTGATACCAGACTTGACAGTCTCTCTGCACCTGACATTCACAGGAGAACTCAACCCTTGAGCCTTCAATCTGGTTCTGAGATTTAGGCTGTTGCACAATTTTTATTTGCCCTGTATTAATGAACACCAGCTAATTAGATAGGAATTGTACCTGAGACCAGACTACATACAGTGTATGAGCAGACCAGACTCTTTTACTTTTATTTACAGTGGCTGGCAACAATTTTTAGCACTTTCCAGCAATTGTACTTTGAACGATCAGTACTACCACATTTTATCAAGTGTTGTTACAATACTGGTACAGGTATCACACAAAATGCTCAATGATTAGTAAGCAAGCTGCAAGTTTTGGTCATCTTCATGACATACTAGCAGTGTACTAGGTTACCATTACAATGATACAACATAAGTGCTTTTATTATATAAAAGTTAGTGGTAACAAATTGATTAAAATGATATCCACACCTGAGGGGATATCATTTTTATCCACACATGTGAAGATATAATTTTTGATAATATTTTTGTCCCTTTATCTACTCTTAAATTTGTTGGTGTATGATTGAAACATCTTCGGATCTTCTTCGGAAGTCGATCTTTGGCAATCTTTGGTTATCTTCAGAAATCTTCAGAAACTTTGGAAAGTTTTGGTAAATGTTTGGAAACATTTGTCTGGCCTTCGGACACATTTTTGAAAATCTTTGGAAATCTTCAGAAAGTGGTTGGAAATCTTTGGAAAATCACCAAAAACGTTGTTATGTATTGTGAGAATTTTATATAATAAAAAGAAAATTAGATGGTCACTTTAGCTTGGAGATACGAAATTTCTTTTCTTGTGTTAAAAAATATTTCACTTGTTTGCTGCGCTCACTGGTGAAATATTCTTCAACACTCGAAGATAAATTTTGTATCTCTACACGGTCGCGTAATTAATATTCTCTATATAATTCAAAAACATCTTGGTGAAACCCTTTTTTTTATTATCAGATTATGATGAGCATGTCAAGATACAACTTTTTGCAAGTCCTTGTTTTTTTTCAGTCATTTACTATCTGCTATTTCAAACTCGTTTATTTTGAACTGCCTCTATTTCAAACTGATTTCTGTTTCCCTTGGCTCAAAATCGAACCCTGTTTATTTTGAATTCCACCATTTGGTAGTGTTGAACAAAAACATCATCATGATGTCAACCTGGAGGGGAACTCGGGTTTTCATGTGACAGCTTGGACGATTGAATTTATGAAGACAAAAATCAAAACCCCCCAAAAGCCCTGGGGCTTCCAGCAAAACTTCAAAAAATCTCTGGACCAAACATTTAAACCCCAATAAAATCCCATGCCGAAACAGATGCATAATGTAACAAGTTTGGTTGTATTTTATTCACAAAGCTAGATCAGCCAGTTGGCTTGCACTACCATGAATCTTCAGATAATTTTGAGTAACAATATTGTTCCCGACTCTGTAGTAGACAGCAGACATAATAAGAAACAAGATACTGATGCAGAGTCAATGTTTTAGCGATCACAAGCTTTCAATGCTGTCACAAGTTGGAGGAGAGTATTAGGCAGCTGTCATGTATTAGCTAAAGAAGAAAACAACTTATCAGAAGAAGAATTTGTGAGGCCTTAGCTTGGAAATTCTGTGCCTGTCAGTCCCCGACGCTCAATCAAGACCATGGATTTGAACTTCCCACCCTATACTTACTTACTTACTTACTTACTTACTTACTTACGGGCATGTTTTGGCATGCCGACTTGGTTCACCTAAGTTCACATGACAAATGGATAATCCTGCCATATTCATTTGAGCATTGAAAGCTTGCCATCGCTAAAACACCAACTCTGCTTAAGTATCTTGTTTCTTCTACAGATAATTTGTTTTGAATATCCACCAAAAATCCCTTCTTAAATCAAGCCACCCCAAAAAATACTTGTCAAATTTTCTTACCCCAAAAATTCCAGGAATCAAAAATTTCAAACCCCCAAAATCCTTCAATCATACCCGTAGCTTGAAATCCTCAGTACCCCCCCGGGTACATCAGACCATGTAACATAACTGGAAAACTACAATAACTTGAACTTTTCATAATGCACTAATCAAAAATCTTGTCCTCAGAATGTTATTCTCTTTTAGCTCTTGGTCAATAAAATAATCTATTATATGGCTCTGTCTCACAAGGATTCAGGGAGCTACCAAATTCACAAATTCGATTGGCTAAAATCGATATTGAAAGCGGTCTAGATTTTCCCATCTTAGACCGGCATCTTAAGACCGGTAATGCTTTGCAGTGAAAAAGTTGCAAACTAAAATGCAAAATCATTGACTATTTTCATCTAACAATATTTATTTATGGAAGTGCCAAAAAGCCTGATAAGAAAAAAAAGTTATAGGACAAGCAAACTTTGGCAGAATTAAATTCAGCTCCCTTACTCACAACCTTGGTCAAGATTTTCCCTTACAGACCTCCTACTTGGTTAATAAGCAGGTTCTTTCTTGGTTACAATTTTGCCATATAGACTGTTTTCATGGAACTGGTCATCAGTCCTTTACAGTTTTGTTTTCAAAAACTGGCAGAATTCAAAATTTGCAGTAAAAACTGTCAAAAAACACTTGTAATTTGTTACTCTCATCTTTCATACAGAAACCTTAACGATCGTTATTTTACAGAGCTCATAACAACAGTTGCACTTCAAAGAACTCCATGGTAGTTTTTGATCCCTACTCTTTGGAGCTAGAAAATAAACAAACATTGCTGAAGTGCCATATCATAAACTACTTACTAAGTAAACCTAGCTTGCTGGAGCCATACTTGGGAATATTGGCCCTCAGTCACTATTTCCAACAATTTTTCTTTTCCCCTAAGAGTTTGAAATAGCAGGGCTCAACTGTGTTTGTTAAAAACTGTATCATTGGATAATGCAATTCGAGAGTTTTTATTTGCTTAGCCATCTTGGTATGTGAGCCATTATGCCATGCTCTACAAAATTATAAATATGGTAAGCACACATGTGAGGGTTTGGGCATTTCTATTTTCATTTTAGTCTAGTTTGATATATTTAGGGGGCATTTTTAATAAAACAATTATTCCACTCAAGCTTGTTGGATGTGAGATGATTATAGCCAACTCGGCACTATGCACCTCGTTGGCTATCTACCATCTCATATCCAACCCGCACTCGTGGAATATATAATTGTTAAATATACTGACAACATATACTGACCCTTGCCGGTGCGAGAATCATGTTTTTTTGGCCGTGTAAATTTACGGGGCTTGTTAGAATGATCAGACACTGGATCCAATTCATCATCGGTGTGATGAGGGGTCACATCAGGAGACACTCGAGGAGTTCCAGGATTGGATGGAACAAAGCCTTCGTTAATAAGTCTGGAAACTGCAGTTGGCTGATGTGTTGAAACAATGGTAGGTGAGTGTAATGCTGATGCTTGACTGACAATGTTCCCATTTTGTTCTTGTGCTAAAATATACAAAGAGGACAAAAAAGGGTGCATGTTGTCAGTACTAAGTGAATGTGAAGTATTTAATACAGGCTACACATTATTTACAGTAATTAAAATTTTTAATATTTACATGTACGAATAATAAATATTTAGAGCACTATGTGTAATGATCATAAACATTTAATTAAAATGATAACTACAACATAGTATACCACACACAATATCTGGGAGATTTTTAACCCAAAGTTTGGGAGAAGAATTTGTGAGTGCCTATTATAGACTGTAGCTCACCAATTTTATTGCCTCGATTACTCAGGCTAGCTGGGGTAAGTCAATCAAGTCTAGCCTAGTTGTGGGTCTTTGCCAGTAATTCAACTTATATCAGAGAAACACAAATGAGACATACACAATGTAACTTTCATAATTACTTCTACATTAATTTTCACACTTTTCTCTTTCTTCTTTTTTCCTAATTCATTCCAAACCATGCAAAATTACCAAGCCAGTAATAGGGTACTTACATGTACATGTAGAAGTTGTCACATTGTTTGCATCATCAACAACTATCATTGGAGCATCATTTTCTGAGATCTGCCTTTGATCACTGCTCTGTCTTCTTTTCCATATTGCACAGACAACAAGAACAACAACAAGAACACCAACGAGCGTACCAAAAATTATAGCAAGTGTCTTTCCTAAGTCCAGTTGCTTTTTTCCATTACTGCTGGATGGTGAAGAAATGTCTGTGGGCAGATCTGGAGCACAGTTCTTATCAACTCGATGACTGCAATGTTGATTACTCTTTTTAAGACCTTGCCTGACACATTCAGGTTGTTCTTCATCTTTTTCATCATCACAACAATAGGAGCATTTGTGACAGGACTGCGATATATCCCTAGCAAAATAATAGCCACTGTCGCAAGTTTGACTGCAATTTGTGTCTGCCTGGCTATTGCAGTACGATATCACAACCTGGTGTTCATCACAAACCTGACACTTATAACACGGCCCAGAGTCGTATTTGTTGGAAAATGTTCCATTAGAGCATCGTTCACAGGAAACGTTTTCAACTGGGCTTTGAACAGTGCTGCCACATTTTGGCTCCAATCCATATCCTTCATGACATCTAGCACATGACTGGCATGTGACTTTACCATCTGCATCAGTAACAGTATACTCGTTTCCACTGCAGATTTCTGAGGATGCATAAAAATCCTAAACAAGAAAAACAAGACGTGACTAACTGGGGAGGTCGTCAATCATTTCACCAAGAAACATCTCATGCCCGACTATCTCTAAACTATCGCTATAAACCGCCTGCCCACCATCTTGAAAGCGGAAATGACCCTGGGTACGAGTATAAATGGTACAACCTCACTCCCAGGGTAATCTCTCTTTCTCTGGGAAATTAATTTTAAATTTAGCTACAAAAGTGCCTACAATTTGAAATATTCCCAGAAAAAATTGCTAATCTTGCTTCGGTTGCCAGAACTATTGCTGGTGCGTCAAATATGAAAAATGCTCTAAACATCTGTACATCATGCCAATATTGTGTCATAGTAATGGCTGCCCTGAGTTGGATGAATTTTTTTCTTTGTTTCATATTTTTGTTGTTTGGAGAAAATTTTGTGTATTCAAATGGCCCAGGATCCACAAAAAATAAAAAC